TTTTTTTTTTTTTTTTTTTTTTTTTTTCATATCAATTAAACCATCGGTTGCAACAGGTTATTTGCTATTCTTCACTTTGCACTTTCACGATAGTACGAAGTCTTTATTTAATTCTTATGTTTGTATTTTGAGGCTAGAGTCTCAAACTTATAGTAGGAGGGTAGAGATAGTGAGGAGTGACATCGTTCGTCGGTTCTCATTGCATTTCGAGCCTTTAGAAGTCAGTCGAAGCTGTGTTTAGTTTATCAAAGTAACATTTGGATGCCTAACATACATGATTCATGCATGTTTATTAAATAATTGAATGCTGAACTTGTTTTTTCCTTCTCATTCTTGTTATAATTGAGCAAGTGAGATCACTGTGTTATACTTTAATCAACAAAGGGTGCCCCCTTTAATACCCAAATAGATGGGCACTGCTGTATGCACTGTGGTGGTATTTGTGCTTTCATGGTCAAATTTTCACAACTAAAAACCACAAACGTGCAACTCTGTGTTTCATGTGGTGTTCTTACATCTAATTCGTTGTATTTTTTATTCTTAATTTGATTGACAGGCTTGCTTGCTTTTGGTGATATTTGGTATAATCCTTCTCATTGTGATCATAATAGTTGTTGCTTAAATGAAAGAACTTGCATTGACTAAACAAACTTGCTGCTGCTATGGTGGCAAGATCAATCTTCCTGTTAGTTTCTTTTGATAAGCTTATGTTGTCGTGGATCCTGCCTTCTGGGAAAAGGGTTGTGAAGGGGGGGCGCGATGTACACTTGTCGGTCTGCCATTGGTATACTGTTTGCTACTGTCAGGTCGACCATCCTCTTCTATTTGGAAATGCTATAACCTTTTTGTGTGAAGGTGTGCAACCTACCCGTTTGTTCCTTGTTCTTTTAACCATTCAATTATATTGATAAATTATTTTTCCTCTCTTTTCTCCTCTGTACTGTTGGACACACAAACCATTTACCCCAACTGTATCTTGGTTGGTGAAATGCAAGGAAGAGAGACAGCGCGCTCTTTTTCTCACATTCTAGGGTTGAGATATTATGGCTTTTGTACTAAAATAAATGGGTTTGTAGTTGTGTTCGTGTTTTCTGGATTTCTGTATTCGACATAGTGACTGAATCATAGAAACTTTGCGTGCTGTCCTTATGTTGGGCAAAGAGGAGCCTTTTCTATATGATGGTTAATTTTATTTCATCTGAAGAATCTGGGGCTTGTTGAAAAATGTACTCGAATGGATGTAGAGTCGATGAACGAGTTTTGAAGTTATGAAATAGAATTATTGGTGTTGACAACGAAGGCCTTGTTGTTACTTGTTGGGATCTCATAGAAATCAAATTAGCAAAATTTTACTTCTTTTAGAAGAATCTCGTCAAGACTAAGAGCGAAGGGCGAAGTGAAGTTCAAGCAAAGAAGAGATGACTTGCAAGTTTGAACAAAGGCGAAGTTTTCTGAAACCCATAATTTAAGATAACTCATAATTTAAGATAACTTGATAAAGATTATTTGAATAATTTTATCACTTAAATTAAGTACAAAAATTACAAAGGAATAAGTTTATAATATGCCATTTTCGTCTATGCAACTACATAAATTTCGAATGCCGGCATTCAAGCACACGCTGACCACTGATTCAATCGATCTTCAAATTTTATGAGCATCTATGGTCATAGTAACTCGCATATCACCAATACTACATTGTTGCACACCATCGATATTGGTTAAATCGAAACTTAAAACTTTAAAAATAATATTTTGAACATCAAAAACACTTGATTAAATCGTAACTTGAAAAGCTTTAAAAATAATATTCTAAACTTCAAAAATAACGAACCTCCCTAGATCCAAGCCAAGAATTAATATCCTAATAAAATAAGTCAATCTAAAGCTTGGAACATATAAATACAATCTTGTCATTACCAACTTTGTTTAAAAATATGATTCTTTGTCAAAAAAATATGGATTCAAATGGCCAAATACAAAAAAGACCGGCCTACACTACACTAAACTAAACCAAACCAAACCAAACCAAAATTGTTCAATCTCGAAATATTTTGACCGTAGCAACTTCAAATCAATTCAATCAGCCATGCCATTCTGAAATGATTCTCTTTTGTTTAGTATCTTATACCAGTCCAATCTATATGGTCATTCCTAAGTCGAGCCGAACGAACCTGTTTACACGCACCCATCTAGATTACATGGAAAGCTAAAATGTACTGCGAATATTATTTAATAGCAGAGCCAGCTCTTCCTATAATACTGAGAACTGAATTCTCCATCCATACGTAAGTACAATTAGCATCCAAAATAAACCATCCCTGTAATCTCCTTACCTTTCTATTTCCATGGCTTGTAATTCAAGAAGCTAAACTTAAAGCTCATTAGACGACGAAAAAGATGTAACTACGAACATTACCGTGTGTAGTATTAACAGACCTCCATGATTCTAAGGGTATCCGTCCACAGCTACCGAAGCGAAACCTGTGAAAAGGAGCATAGCCAACGCTAAAATATGGATCAGAAGCACAATCTCATCATTATGTATAGCAAGTAGATAAGATTATCATCGGTTTACCTTAATCGACTCTAGAACCTACTTTACATTTGACGATCAAGCTCAAACCCTTTTAATTTCTGAAGTGAGAAGGTCCATCTGTTCCGTAAGTTTATCCACATGTTTAGATTTGTCCCACATGTTTTCTAACGGCTGCATTTCGTTTGTCTTCGGTAGTCCTCCAGTCAAAAAGTCAACCTCTTCCTCCTGGCATGGGCTATGCACAAGAAGATCATTCCAGAAGTTGGAATTGTCTAGTAAGGCATCGATATCAGGATCGGGGGATATGCTATCAATTTCAATGGGAATATTGGCTGCTTCCAACAAACTCAGACCTGAAAATGCACCATTCCCAGTCTCAGCTGCCCTATAATCTGCTTCAGGAGCATCAATAATGTTCTCAGACACCATTTCAGATATTTGGGAAAGCTCAGACATGATTACATCTGTCTCTGAAACGGGCAAGGAAGAAGCTTCCCGAGCCCCTGGACCGCGCACAGCATTAACAGAAAAAGGAGTAGTTGAAACCTTGTCAGAAGTTGTGGCTTGGGGCGACGAGTGAATTTCTGAAATGGCAGTTGAGGGGCCATGAGAAGCAATACCCGAAGCGGCTGAGTTAAAAGAAGACGCCCCTGAGGTCGGAGGTACCTCTTGAAGAGTCACACCTGATACAGAAGTAGAAGAGTTCCCGTTGTCCATTGCTGCACACGACGATGGCAAACCATCACTGATTAGAAAACTGTCAGTATTGTGGTTCAAAGGTTCCAAATGTGAAGTATCTATTTTCATTATCTGTCTCAGCATAGCTTTCGCTGCCTCGTTCATGAGAGGTTGATACTTCACGATTTGCCCATCAGGAACAGTAGTATGCTCTGACTCGGCAATTCCATCCTGCTTGAGCCTTCGCTTTTTATTAGCTTCACTTATGCGTCGAGTACTTTCGTTTTGCTGCTGCACAAACTGAGCCAAAAAGCCAGGGCTTTGCACGGCCTTTGCAAGGAATGACATCATCTGCTGCTGTCGCTGCTCCATCCCCTGTAGACGCTGTACCATAGTTTGCAGCTGGTTGTCAGTAGTTTGTTGCTGCTGCCTCAATCTCACAAGTTCCTGCATGAGAACATTTTTGTCTCTTTTAAGCCTCTCAACCTCTTCCTCCAAACCGAATTTACCAACTTCCACACAAGCTCCCACTGAGGAACTTTGTCCATGAGACTGCTGTGGTTGTTGCTGACTGTGACCATGGACAGGCCTTCGTCTAGTTATACTCTTAAGCAGGTGTTTCTGACCTCTTAAGAAGCCTTCATTAGCAAACTCCCAACGGTCGGGATCAACTTTCCTGAAGCCCTGGTTAAACAATATAAAAAACCAGCCAAATACAGTGGAGGAATCAAACAACTAGAAAGGTATGAGTAAGCAAAATGAACGTAAAAGAAAAACAGACCACTGAACATAGATTCACACAATACTGATCTCTGCTTACTCATTGTAATAGCTCAAACCCACCGCTAGCAGATATTATCCTCTTTCGGCTTTCCCTTTCGAGCTTCCCCTCAAAGTTTTTAAAACGCGTCTGCTAGAGAGAGGTTTCCACACCCTTATAAAGAATATTTCGTTCTCCTCCCCAACCAATGTGGGATCTCACAATCCACCCCTTTCGAAGCCCAACGTCCTCGCTGAAACTCGTTCCCTTCTCCAATCAATGTGAGACCCCCCAATCCACCCCTTTGGGGCCTAGCTAGCTCTTCGCAAGTGAAGTTTCTTATAAAACAAAGATGATCCTAAACTAGCTCTTGGGAACATTAGATTTCCAGATAGTCGACAAATATGGCCAAATCATGTCCATAAAAAGAAGTCAAGTCTGTTGGGAGCATTAGATTTCCAGATAGTCAACAAAGCCTAATCAAAATAGGGCAACAGGTTAAAGAGAAAGATGAACGAACATTAGAGAGGATAGACCATTCTTCCCCAAAAGTCAAAATAATGTCTTCTGAATAGCATATCCTTGAACCTTGAAATCTTTAATGGGGGAAGACTCCTAAATTAATGTCGACGAGGTAAAGCCCTGAGGAAAGGAGAGGAGAACGATTGCCTTCATTCACTGATGCAACCATACTTAACAAATCCATTTGTTGACTGCAATTTGGAATAAAAACCCAATAACCTTAGCAAACTATAGGTTACTTATTTTTCACTTCCACCCCTTGAATCAATCCCATTTAGCTCCATCATCCTATGCAATAAGGCTCAAATTTAATTACAAGGCTATGTTTAGCAATGAGCGGTAAGTTCCTCGCCATCCCAAAAGAGGTCCTCCCAGCATCTTAGCTAACTTAACAAGCAACTTGAATAGAGAAAACAATAAGTTGGGACAGTGGAAGGCACAAATTAAACAATACTCCATCAGGCCTCCCTTTACAATATAAGCAAACTTCCACCAGTTCATAGTACTTCGGGTTCTTTTGCTTTGACCTTGTTTTGCCATGACTGATGGCTGTTTGAGATTGTTTTCCTACCCTTTGATGCAGTCCATAGTATATATATATATCAAATATAACTCTATTTCCTATGTTCTATACTAAGGGAAATTTACGACCTCCTAAGCTGAGAGTCCCAAACCCAGAAAACACGCACCCTAAATATCAAATTATTTCTAGAAAAATGTCCACACGTTCAAAATGAAAAAGGAAAGACTGCACCTATAGAAAACAAGTTGATCCTAAAACATGAAACTTAGACTAGCAATTCCATCCCACGAATCCAATCCACAAATAGCATCCAATTTTACCCACTAAAAACAATGGATTCCAATCTCAATCTAATTACTTCCCAACAAAGCAACCCGCACTCCAACAGATACAAAATAATTGCAGAGATTCAAAACACAAACTAAAGCGATGAAAACCAAACCAAGTCAAACAATTCAACACAAAACCTCAGAATAAGAAATAAAACAAAGCAAACACCATACATAGGTATTGAGCTGCCTAACGAAGCTGGAGAAGTTATTATGCTTGAAATATTTGGGCAAAAGATCCCTAGCGAACTCAGGCGGATTCCACACCACAAAACTATTATTCGTGGAGCTCCAGGACACAACCGCATCGGTAGCCGAGTCATCCACCATATCATAGGTCTTACTCAGAAACGGCGGAGGCGCGTTGGCATTAGTGATAGGAGGCGGCACCGTAGGATGAGAGCTTCCACTTCCGGAGGTTAATCCAGCTTCTCCGCCATTAGCATTCCCGTCCATTTCAGCGTCAACAAACAGAAGACGAGTAAGAAACAACGCAAAAACAAACACCGAATCGGAAAATTAGGGTTTGGAAATGCAGGAAAAGGAAAATTCCATCTCCAGGAGATGAAAACGCTTGAATTGAAGAAGAAATGAGAAGAAATCGGAGGGTTTCAGAGGAGGAGGAGGAAGAAGAAGATCAATTGGCGGATGAGAGAGAAGAAGATAACCAGAGACTGAAAATGAGAGTGGTCGTCGTACGGACGAACAGCGATGCAAAGGAAAAAAGGTGACCGACTTGCCCTATATGGAAATCGAAAGTTATTAAACGACGCCGTCTCCAAACTTGACCCCCCGACGACGTCGTATCCGTGTTTTGAGCTGCTTGCTTTTTATTTTTATTACTTTTTTTAATTTTCTAAGGAATGTCTTTACCATTTTTTTATTTCACTTAGATTCTCTAAAGATATTTTCTTTTCTTTTTATAATAATTTTTTAAATATATTTTTAAATATATTTTCGAATTTAATTAAAAAAAAAAACTTTTATACCAACACGAAATTTTGGATTGGTTAGGTGGGTGACCCTAACAATTCGAATAAAATTCACAACCCAATTTAATCTTCTATTTAAAAAAAAAATTAAAACATCTTATTTATTCACGATACATATTAAATTAATAACTAAAATCTCATAAAATTAAAATATTAAATATTTATAAGTTACCCATATTAAATATTTTTAACCATTTTACTAGGGTAGAGTTGAGATGGGTTGACTAGACCAAAAAAATGTAACTTGAATCGAATTTTTCTATTTTAAAAAAATTCAATTAAACCCAAATCGAAAAAAATATATATATTTATTAAATTATTTGGTGATATAAACGCCTCTACTTTTTGTATTTCTTCAGGCTCGAAGTATATTTCATATATGAAATTTCTCAAATTTAAAAAATTTAAAGTTAAAAACTTTAAAAGGCTCCCAGATCTTTAAAAAAAAGATCTAAACCTTAACAATTGTTTATTGAATTGAAGAACATTGTTGCCGTATGAGCCGCCATGAGATTGAGATTTAAATGGCTTATGAAACGACTTGCATTATTATGAGATTTATATTTAGATTTATCCATTATGTCCTATGCCCAATAAAAAATTGCAAAATCTTATTGGATATGAGCTCACACGTGAAATAACTACTTGCATGTATACAAGATGATCTACAAGGGTTGTGCCCTGTACGATATGAACTCACATGCAGAATCACTTTGCATGTATATGAGCTGATCTACTAGAGATGTACTCTGTAAGATATGAACCCACATGCAGAATCATTCTCTGTATGTATATAAGATGATCTACTAGGACCATATCCGGTACGATATGAACCCACATGCAGAATCACTCTCTACATATATACGAGATGATCTACTAGGGTTGTGCCTTGTTAGATATGAACCCACATGCAGGATCACTCTCTACATGTATACGAGATGATCTACTAGGGTCGTGCTCGATACAATATGAATCCACATGCAGGATCACTCTCTACATGTATACGAGATGATCTACTAGGGTCGTGTCCTGTACAATATGAACCCCACATGCAAGATCACTCTCTACATGTATATGACATATATGACATGATCTACTAGGGTCGTGCCCAGTACGATATGAACCCATATGCAAGATCACTCTCTACATGTATATGACATGATCTACTAGAGTCATGTCCAGTACGATATGAACCCACATGCAGGATCACTCTCTATATGTATACAAGATGATCTACTAAGACCATGCCCGGTATGATAAGAACCCACATACATGATCACTCTCTGCATATATTTGAGAAGATCTATTAGGGTCGTGCCCGGTATAATATGAACCCACATGCACGATCAGTTTCTACATTTATATGAGATGATCTATTAGAATCGTGCACGAGAGATTGTAAGATAACTTCGTACTCATAATTCATATAGAAACTTAAACATTCTTACCCAAATTCTTCTTATTTTATCAAACACATTGAAAACTAGGCAAGCATTTTCATTTTAAGGATAAGCTTTGAGATTGTGTTCGTTTAAGGTCAATATCCACCATCATATCCTCCTTCTTCACCACCAACACCACCGTAGCCACTTCCGGCACCGCCGCCACTCCCATACCCACTTCCTTTAGCACCACCACCATACCCTTTGGCTCCACCACCATAACCACCACCTGACCCACCCCCTCCTCCACTCCCATAGCCAACACCATGGTCTCCTCCTGGACCATATCCAGCTCCACCTCCAGCTCCATATCCTCCACCTCCGCCGCTACCATACCCAACTCCATGATCAGCTCCACCGCCATATCCACTCCCTCCACCACCACCGCTACCATAGCCCTTTCCATGTCCACCCAAATCCCCATATCCTACACCACTTCCTCCACCACCACCGCTACCATACCCCTTTCCATGTCCACCCAAATCCCCATATCCTACACCACTCCCTCCACCACCACCACTACCATAGCCTTTCCCATGTCCACCCAAATCTCCATATCCTACACCACTTCCTCCACCACCACCGCTTCCATATCCACTACCTCCAACGTCTCCTACACCTGCATAGCCAGAACCACCGCCGCCGCCACTTCCATATCCAGAGCCACCAAGAGAAGAGCCAGCTCCAGCTCCATATCCTCCGCCGGACCCACCACCATATGCACCATAAGGTCCATCATGATGGTCATGATCATACCCTACTCTTGGGTTATGCTGGTATCCATAGCCTACATCGGAGTGATGTGGAGGATCATAAGAGAGAAGGGTTCTGGCCGCCGAAGCTAAGCCTAAACCAAGGAGTAGAAGAAAAGTAAGAGACAAAGATTTAGAGATAGCCATTGGTAAAGGGATGAGTATACAATGAATCCATTCATCTCCTTATATAGGACATGCTTGAGGGGCTTCATCAAATCTTTGTTTATTCCCATTTGCTTCTTCACCTAAAAATATCTTTAATCCTTGTTACCTTTATTATTTTCATATAGATGTTTTGATGTGACGCTCGAGTAAAGGAAAAGGGTATATGAATATACCATGTACTATGAGAGCGATCTCGAAAATAAGATGTAATGGTCCAAGCTTACAGCTCGCAGATATTGTCTTCTTTCGGCTTTCTCTTAAAGTTTTTGAAATGGGTCGGCTTGGGAGAGGTTTGCACACCCTTATAAAGAATGTTTTGTTCTCCTCCCTAATTGATGTGGGTTCTCGAGCTAGACACTGGGCGATGTACCAGTGAGGAGGCTAAACCCTAAAGGGGTGGACACGAAGTGGCGTGTCAGTAAGGATGTTGGGCCGTGAAGGAGGTGGATTGGGAGGTCCCACATCGATCGGTTAGAGAGGAGAACAAAACATTCTTTATAAGGGTCTGAAAACCTTTCCCTAGCATACGCGTTTTAAAATCGAAAGCTCGGAAAGGAAAGCCCAAAGAGAACAATATTTGCTATCTGTGGGCTTGAACTCTTATATAAGATGATCTTATTTATTCAAACACTGTAAACGAACAAAATGAAAGAGAAGCGACTGAACCCTTACAGGAGAGTAAATCAAAGAAAAGATAATTTCTTGAAGAATCAAATTCAACATTAATTCTCTCGAACCAATATTATAACCTAACCTAAACTACAAAAACACGAGAGTCAATGAAATCCTAAACCTCGTAAACTCAAGTTTCACTATCTCCTTTCTTGAACGAGGTAAACGAACTGAGATTACCTTACTTTATTCCCTCTATCGGTAGGTCTGGTTGCTTCTAGACTAAAATAAATTTTAAAAATTTAAAATTACTAAATAAGGTCAGTATAAAACCCCACTTAATAGATATTACCTAAAACATTAAAATACTTCCCATTTTCTATGCAATGGTGGAAAAATGATCACATTTATTATTTTAAGATAAAGTTTGATAGTGGTCAAGCTATGAGTGCCAACTTAGAGATATTTCAACTTGGTAACATTATAATTATTTATAAACATAAGCTACCTAAGATTAAGATTAAGATCATGTTTAAAGATCTTAAAAGAGGGCTAAGTGGGTTGGTGATATTATCTTTGTAGAAATAAGATAAGAATTTTCCCATCTCCATTATCAACTTCATTATTATAATCTTTTAAAACTATACACTATAAAAATAGCGTGACATTGATATCACGGGTAAAATTGGCATTTTTACTATATCGTAAAAAATTAATAAAATATAAAATAAATATCTATATGTAAAGCTATTGTTAATAATAATGTAACTTTTTTTAAGTGTGTGTGACATTAGAGTAATTATTTTAATGGAATCAAATATGCATACCCACGATAAGAATATGAATTGTCAATGTCGTCCTAATAGTAACTTAAAAGGGCGGTATTGTCTTTTTAGTTGACACTACTGGAGGTGTATATCTCAACCTGCTAATTTGAGGATCTAGCCTAATCCAACCCGAATTATAAGGGTTGGGTTTAAAAGGATTTCGGGTTTGGATTGGGTTCATTCTTTGAAACCTGATTCGGCTCGGGTTGGATTCGAGTTCGAAATTCAAATTATTGGGAGAACCGACCCAACTCGAAATTTTTTTAAAAAAATGGCTCAAGGCCAAGCCCAAGCCCATGAGTCACGTTGTCTACCCCTGCACCTGGCTAGAGTGCAGACTGTGTTAAATAAAAGCTCTGCCTTATTTAGTTAGGTTTGTAAAAAACATATGAGTTCACGCGAATGGAGGAGCGTGATTATAGGGGCCATTGTTTTGGCAGAGTGGCGGAGTCTTCGTCCACTTATTCTATTTTTGTATATTTGGTTTTTCTATTTTTGTAATTAGATTTATTATTTAAACCATTCAACGGATGTAAAATAAAGATATCGAGTCTTCAGCATTACCAGCGAATCTCTCTCTCTCTCCTTTTACTTCCGCTAATTTTTCCTTCGAAGAAACCTTCGGCCAATTTTTTCGTCGACATTCGATTTGCCAGAGTCAACAGACTGTATCTCTTTACTCTTCGATACATACGAGATTGAATTAATAACTTTTTGTCTCTTTATTTCTCTCTCTGTTTGATACACGAGATGAAATACATATTTCCGCTGTTCTCGTCTTTCTCATTGTCTCTATACTCTTTGTCTTCATCATTCTCATCTCATAGCGGACGTTGATGTCGCTCGCCAGTCGCCTCTTTATTTCTCCGTCGGACTCTCTTCTCAGTTCTCATTTCTCCGCTTGACCTCGTCTCTGTGTTTCTCATCGAACATCGTCACCAACTATCTCTCCGCTTGGCATTCCATTCCACTTCCATCAGACTTCACCACTCTATGTTTGTCGTCGGACTTCTCCGCTCTGTGTTTCTTATCGGACTTCTCCACTCAGTGCTACATTGTTTCTCTTCCCCACTTCTTGTCTCTTCTCAGTTTAGAACAACCTGAACCCAACTCAAAAATAAAGGGTGGGTTATAATTTTTTTTTGAGTTGGGTTGGGTTGGGTTACCCATCCAACCAACCCGAACTTTCAAGTTGGGTTGGGTTAACTCTCAACCAAAAAAATTTCTCAACCCAACTCAATCTGTACACTCTGACACTACCTTATAGTATCATTATTTTCCACAAAAAAAATTAAAGTTCAGAAGTAATTATTTCTAATTTATTTGTATTTTTACTTAAGAGTTAACCTAAACGTTACTCAACTAGTTATATAGAGTCGAACACACGAATATATATATATATATATATATATATATATATATATAATTAATCAATTAATTAATTGGTCAGGAGACACCTTAATCAAGAGAGCCCAAAAGTTGTGCTTGAAACGGCTCTGTTCCATAATAAAACAAAACCACTTTAAACTCATAATGTTTCAAATATTCTATATTATTTTAAGGGACGGTTCGAAAATGGGTCGTTTCGATTCGCTCCCCTAATCTTCTTAGACTCCTTTCTCCGAATGAAATATAACAATGTTCGAGCTCCTGCTTTGTTTGCGTTCTTCACCGACACTTGTCAGAGTTGTCTCACTTACTCCACTCCTAAGATAAGGAGTCTTCTGTGTTAAAAATTTTTCGGAAATAAATCGCATATGTTGGTTGGGAATTGCTCGAGAATTCAAGCCTAATTATTATTATGATAAAATCATTCTCAATGATCATTCTAGACCACTGAAAGTGCAGCCAAGAAGATGAGAATGATTAAATATCATATAGTAGAATGACCTATTTGTCCTCAACAAAAACAAAGTCCAGGAAAGACACCTTGGTTATTTTAGTCTTTTCATAATCCATCTAGAATATTCCACTTGGTATGAATATAAATAAGGGTTGAGCGCTTTTCCATTGACACAAAGAAGGCTTAAAAATTGCAGAGAGAAAATGGAGAGTGAGGCAAAAGCCGTTCAATCTCTCAGGTTTTTCTTCCCATTTCTTTCTTTTTTATATGCTTTGATCTTATTTTTTATTGTTTGTTTAAGTTTATTTTGTTTATTGGTTAAATATAATTATAAATAATATGATCGAATCATTCTTAATAAGTTAATGCTCAAGATTTCGTGATTCTTAACAACCTAATGCTCCAGATTCCGATTAAGATTTGGAATGGTAGATTTAAGATATTTTGTCCCTGGTTTACATATTTTCTCAATATAAAATTGTTTCGAGTAAAGTTGTAACAACTAAGTGCCTCCACTTTGATTCGTTACGTCGTCATCGGTCTCACAGTTTTTTTTTGTTAGGAAGAGGTTTTTACACCCTTGAATGTTTCATTCTCCTCTCCAATCGATATGAGATCTCGCAATTCACTCCGGCCAGCCCTAGCTGGCACACCGCTTGGTGTCTGATTCTGACACGAAGGTTTTCATACCCTTGCAAGAAATGTTTCATTCTACTCTTCATCCAACCGATGTGGGATCTCACAATCCACCCCTCTTGTGGGCCAGCGTCCTCGCTGGCACACCGCTCGGTGTCAGGCTCTGGCATGAGGTTTCCACACCCATGTAAGGAATGATTCGTTTTCCTCTCTAATCGGATCTCACAATCTACTCCCTTTGGGGGCCAGGGCTCTCGTTGGCACACCACTCGGTGTCTAGCTCTGATACAAAGACACACCCATGTAAGGAATGTTTCGTTATCCTCTCTAATCGATGTAGGATCTCATAATTATAATCCACCCCCTTTGGGTGCCAGTGTTCTCGCTGGCACACCGCTCGTTGTCGGGCTCTAATATCATTTGTAACATCCCAAACCCTTGATATTATCAGCTTTAGCCCGTTAGATATCACCGTCAGCCTCACGATTTTAAAACACGTTTGTTAGGGAGATGTTTCCAAACCCTTATAAGAAATGCTTCATTCTCCTCTTAGAATCTCACAAAAGTACACTTAAGTTGGAAAAAAACACACTTTAAATTCTTATAAACATTTCTCATATAGACGTAGTCTTAGTCGACTTACGTACTCGTACCAATCGACTATCACAACCATCGACCTTCAAATTGATATTCTATTTCTTAATGTTCAAGTAGTGTGGGGAGTGGAGAAAAGGGAGTGCTTGGGAAGGCATATTGCAAATGTGGGGAAGGTTGGAAATGCGAGATCAAAAGAACTCAAGGCCCTGATGCAGGGAAGACCTTTGTCAATTGTGGCAACAACTGCGTCTGCATAATGTAAGTATCATGAACCATTACAACAAAGTTCGTGTGGGTACTCTTTTTATATGAACATGATATCATGCAGCGAAGGGACAGCCGAAGGAGCAGTCAAGTTGCAGCAATTGGCCGGCGAGGGCGGCTTTGAAGGAGCCTCTTGCGAGTGTGGAGAAGGTTGGAGCTGCACCATTTCCAAGATTGAAGGCCCTCAAGACACCAAGTCCTTTGCTAAATGTGCTGGTGATTGTTCTTGCATCACTGTTGCTTGATCGTGTCTTTATTCTCTCGTATATGTTTCAAACTAGACCGACTTTCTTCATTTGGGTTTGTGTCTGTTTAATTGTTGTTCATGTAAACATATTCTCGTGTATGAAAGTTAATGACCGAAAATAAGATCTACTCGTAAAGACATTTTTAGTAGTTCAAAATTTCGAGTTTGATTTTTTTTATTTTATTAACATGTAGAGATGATCAAGATTACTCTACCAGATAACTTGAATGATTCTAAGCACAACAAACTCACTAATACGTCGCTTTCATTTTAATACAACAAATCATTTATAGCCTGAAAATAAATTTATAATAACTTATGGTCAATGTCCTATCGTAATTAATTGTAATTAAAATTTTACTTTATTAAAAAAATTAAAAAATACTCGTGCTAATAAGAATTTTAAAAATAGTGTTAACAATTTTTTTTTATAATTAATATATAATCGAAAGTTGAGACGTATTTTTGAAACGTGGTATAAAAAAATTAAGAATATATTTAGACTTTTTTTAGTTTAAAAATATTATTGAAACATAATGTTCATAAAATACGAAAATTAAATGATAGTTTTATTAATTTAGTTGAAAAATAAATAAATAATAATAATAATAATAAAAAAGTGGAAGAAGGGAAGAAAAAATAAAAGGCGTTTCTTTGGGCCACAAACAAACGTCCAAAGAAAAAAAATTGTGTTAGCCCACAATTTCTTGTATATATAATATTTTTTTTAATTATTATTTTTTAAATCATATTTATATTATAATATATATTACAATAATAGATAAAATCGCATAAAGTTCAAATAATAGGAAATATTTATCAATATTTTTAAATTTTTCAAAAGTAATGTAACGCTTTGTTGGATTGTAATCCTATTTTCGATTCGACGAAAAAAATGTCAACTAGAAAATCAAACTTGATTTTTTATTTTTCGAAATCCAGCCCGACCCAAACCGAAAAGAATCTAACTAAACTGATGTTTATAGTTTGGGTTAAGTAGCCTAGATTGGTCGAATTATCGAGTCATATGAACATCTATAGTTAAAATAACATTTTATTTTGGTCCATCCTCTTATTTTGGCCCGTTACGGATCGTCGTTAGCCTCACGGTTTAACAACGCGTTTGCAAGGGAGAGGTTTCCACACCGCTAGCAAATATTGTTCGCTTTAGTCCGTTACGGATCGTCGTTAGCCTCACGGTTTACAACTCGTCTGCTAGGGAGAGGTTTCCACACTCTTACAAGGAACGTTTTGATCCCCTCTCCAACCAATGTGGGATCTCACAATTCACCCCCTTGAGGGCCCAACGTTTTCACTGACACATTGCCTAGTGTCCGGCTCGAATACCATTTGTAACGACCCCAGCCTACCACTAGTAGATACTATCCACTTTTGTCTTGTTACATATCATCATCAGCTTCACAGTTTAACAACATGTTTGCTAGGAAGATGTTTTCACAGTCGTTCCCTATAATTTTATTAATACTTAATAGTTTATGTATTTATTTTTATAATAATTATTATAAAATTCTTTAAGAATAAGGAGAGAGAAAACAACACAAACAAAAAAACAAGTCCAAGTAAAAAAGTTGTTTACGTGTAAAACTTATGAAGTACTCTATTGCCACGTCTGCAAAACTTTTCTTTTAATGATTTATATATTTTTTAAAAAAGTAAAATATGTTTAATAAATTTTTAACTTTTAAATTTTACGTCAAGTATTTTAATTTTGAAAAAAATATAAAATAAAATTTTAAAAATTTTATGTAAAAAAAACTCATTAAACATAAATCTAATTTTATAATTGATGCATTAATTAATGATTAAAAATTAAAAATGAAATATATATATATATATATATAGTTCTTAAAAGGGGCGTGTGCGAGTAATGCGTATGTCTGTCGCCGAGGAGAAAATGAATGTTCCCACGAAAATTAATTTTATTAAAAATAGGAAGCGAAAAGACATTTTTGCCCTTGCTCCTCAAAAAAAAAAAAAAAAAGAGAAGGAAAAAGGGGGAGATTGTCACGTGTAAGGTGGGGCCCATCTCCCACATGGTCTGTTCCCTCTTCTGTGGACCCCACTTCTCCTCCCCCCTTCATCCACCGCTTTCCCCCGGTAACCCCTGGGGCTGGGCTTTGGATATTCATCCACTACTATACACGTGTTCACTAGATCTGTGGGCTCCACCAATCACTACTTAAAAAATTCTTTTACTTTTTTTTTTTTTTTTTTCCTTCTTGCAACTTAAAATAACAATAATAAAACCAATACCATACTTTTAAGGTAATTTATCTCGTTGAACCTGTAGACGATACCATTCTTTTACAAGATAGCAGTGCATAACATTCGTCGATGCTGGTGCTTTTGGTAACACGTGAGAAGCTGAAAGCTGTTGCACGACCTCTAGAGCGACTATCTTAGCCGTGGGATCGACCTCGCCTAAGAAGAGTTCACATAAGGGTGAAGGCAAAACTCGAAAGGAATTTACTTACTTTTTCTATTTCTTCTTGACAAAGAAGCTACGGGACCAATTTAAGAACTAAATTGTTAATTTAAACCAAAATTCTTTCGAAGCAAGACATAAGAAGTAAGAAATATGTTCTCGAGATGAGTGTGATACTTGTCACTCTAGCTCCATTGCTTAAGTCAGCAGACAAAGATCCGTAACAAAAATGTTTTTTTTATTTTATTTTATTTTAATAATGGAACATAGAAATAGAAAAAAAAGGGAAAAAAAAAACATAAAATGGAGACAAGAAGGTTAGAACAGGGAAGTTCTCTGTACTGTCTGCTCCATGCATTGCACCCGACAAATATTCCATCTTCATACTTCAAATAAACGTTTCCAAATTATAAATACACAAACAAATGAATAATAATAATAATGGACCATAATTATTATTTTTCACATGGGTTTGTGTTCTTATATTTGTATTTGATAACGTGTTTCTAAGTACGAGTTCGGTTTGGTCTCTATAGTGATTAACGAAGGTTAGCAATTATGATTTAATGCAGTATGAGTTAACGTTCAACATAAGGTATGTATGATACATTTTGAAAGCGTTATTGGAAGTACTAAGATTCCACATCAGTCGGAGATAGAAATGAATCATTCCTTATAAGGGTCTGGAAACATCTTCATAGTAGATGCGTTTTAAAATTATGAGACTGATAATGATACATAACGGGTCAAAACAGACAATATCTACTAGCATTTGGCTTGTACTATTATAAATAATATCAGACCCAGCCAGCGAGGACACTAAGTCCCTAAAGGAGGAATCATTTATGAAAATCTCTAGACCTAGACACCGGACACAGGGTGTTGTGTGTCACGGTCATGCTCGTCCAAGGCGTGTTGCCCATAGCCGCATGCCCATGACAAGCCCGACCCTTTATGTCTTTTCATATTCTAGTGTTTTACTTTTGTATTTCTAGGAAGTATGACGTTTCAGAAATATCATGTTTAGGCCTGTCAGACATGAAATGTCTCAGAATGTACTATAGGGGGATACGACTAGTTGTCAACTTTTCCCTACCCAAGGTTATATACTGTAAGCCGTTGTTATTTCTCTCTTGCTTGTTTATATAACGTCTCTTTCAAAAATCTCTCTCTGCCCTCACTTTCTAAAACCTTCTCTTAAAATCGAGGCCAGAGACTCGAGCATACGTCGCTTGGTCCTAGGTGACGCAAGAACGAATTGGCTTAACTCACTTGTCGTTGGAAAGTGAGTGCCGCACAATCGCGAGTCCGCTGCCATTAAAAGTGCAATTGTGACACTGTGCCATCAAGGACACTAGGTCCCTAAAGGAGGAAACATTTATGAAAATCTCTCCCTAGTAGATCGAGTAGGTCCATTATTATTATTATTTTTTCATATTTAAAATGTGAAGCATGTGAATGTATATAACAAATTAGGTGTTGATTCAAAATAAAATTTCAAATTATTTTAAATAATGCTCTAATTATTATTGAAGAAATTGGGAACAATGGACTGTTCAAATCCTAAAAATGAAAAATAATATTTATTATTGTCTTAATATCTAATAATTATTTTTATTTGTTTCCTTTTGTTTCTATTTTGATTTTGTAATTGATAGGAACAATTATTAAATTCAACATCAATAATTAAAATAAAGAAAATCATTTTATTATTTAGATTCTATTTAACAAGAATCTAAACTGCTAGATTTTTTGTTCATTTATTTCATTTATTACTACATTTCTATCAAATAAAATGGGCTAAATTAATTATCCTTAAAATGTATATAAAATAATAATAAACTTTAAAAAATTTCATTAATATATTTAAAGAAAATTGAAAAAAAATAAATATACATTTTTTGAAAATATATATATAATGAAGGCAAAACTATGGTTTAAAATTATAATATAAAGTTGATCCATTCAACTAAAAAATTTTGATTTTCCAATATCAACAAAAATAAATAAATAAATAAATAAATAAACCCTCTAAAAAAATCAACAAGAAAATTAAAAAAAAAATAAAGAGAATAATGAAATTTATAATCTTTTTTCCTTAGCATTTGGCATCATATGTTAATAGTAATATGATGATTGATATAAAGATAACTCAATTATTCTTTTCCAAAAAAAAATATATAATAATAATCTAATCATCAATCAAGTCTATAGTTTTCACTTTTTATGAAAATAAAATTTATTTTTGCTTATTAAGATATCACTTATTAAATAAGATATTAAATATAATCATAAAGAATGATCATGACTTAAAATATCATATTTCTTGTTTTTTTTTATTATTTTAGAAACATTTCTAATATTAATAACCAATAAATGTTTCTCAATGGATTTTAAATTTAAAACAAGAAATAAATAAAAGTAAAGAAAAATAAGATTTTAAATTTATACCTACTCATGTGATTCAGCACGAACACACTCTCTACAATTAGTCGATCTGGGACTTTCATCATCGAACACCTCCCTTCGAACAAAGTACGCCTCCCTGTAATCGAGACTCGACTCCAGGCCTGGCTTCTTTTCTTTTGGAATCCTTTGTTCCACATTTGAGGATTTACCGATATATTGACACGACTAAGTTTAGGGCATGACTCTAATATCATGTTAGATGAACACGATTCTCCACAATGGTATGATATTGTCCACTTTCAAAAGCTCTCATGACTTTGCTTTGGGCTTCTCCAAAATATCTCCTACAATGGTATGATATTGTCCACTTTGAACATAAGCTCTCGTGGCTTTGCTATGGGCTTTTCCCAAAAGGTCTCATACCGAGAGTATTCTTTGATTATAAACCCTTCTTTGATTATAAATGGAGAGAGTATTATATCATTTCCTATGATCATTCCCTATATTATTTACTTTTCGCTTCGAAGAGTGAAAACTATCCCCCACTTAGAATTGGTCCAAGAAAAATCCTATTAGGCTATGAACAAATTTCAACCCTAAAATTTCAATAGTTAGGATTTAAAGCAGACAAAATGAGATTAAAACATAAATTTGAATGAAGTTGCAACCACAAATTGAAAAAAGTAGTAGGGCCAAAAATGAACCGGAAGAAGAAATAATGATGAGATATGAGGTAGCTAAAAGCCCCTTCTTCCAAAGATTCTTAAACTTACAAACACTTTCTTCCTCATTGCCCTAAATAAAGCGAGTTTGGCAAAATGTCACCAAATCAAATATAGTGATAATCTCCCATTTCAACCAAATAATGTCCCTATTTCTCCCAATTATTGCTTTTCTTTTCCCTTATCAGAATCAATCTCTCTAACATTCATCATATTCTTGGCCCCTCATCTATATTACAGACAATGACCAGAGATGAACATTCACAAATCTTGCACTAATAATTACACAAACTTCTTTTCGTTCACAGAATTCCAAGCGCCAAAAGGAAAAGAAAAGAAAAATGTAACAATATGCATATTCTTCAATTTCAACTACGACATCAGCTTCTGATTCTGCTTTGCTTTTTTTTTTTTTCTCTTTAAATATTGTCTTAGTTCTTCAGATTTTCAATTCGAAATTTGAAATTTGAAATTCGAAAATGAGACGAAAGCAATTGAGATTTAACCTCTGTGTAACGGAGACCGTTCCGTGAGAACGGCCTTTGAAATCTTCGATTGCCGAAAAGCTTTGATCGGACTCGGAAAGTACCACGTCTTAGCCTTCACTGGTGGCCGGACGAATCTCCCGCTAGAATCGGAAACCACAACTGATCTTGACCGGATCATCAACGTTCGTCTCATCGCCTCTTCAACTTCCGCTACCTCCTTCTCTCTCCGCCTGAATTCGATTTCCGCTGCTGTCTCGGTTCTTCCGCTGTCATGGCCGCTCCTCTTACTCCTCGACCTGAAAATCGACCAAAACGACGACGCTCTAGCACTATTACCAGACGACGAACAGTCTTCCGAATCTGAAACGAGTCGCGATCTCGATCGGAGAAACGGAATCGCAGCGAGAGAGCGAGAGCGGCGGAAGGCCGGCTCGCCGTCAATCAGATTCGAGAGACGGCCAACGGATCCGAGAGAGGTAACATCCGCGGAGGAGAAGCGAGAGAAAGAGGAGGAAGAAGAAGAAGAAGAAGAGGTAGTGGTGGTGGTGGTAGTTACACAACAGTTGCAAGGACGTACGTTGGCGCAGTCAGGGCAGAGAGTGAGGAGGCGGTCACGGAGGCAGAGAGGACATATTCCGATCCTCCGCCGTTTGGAAGGGTGTTTTAGACATTTCCATACGTCGTCTTCATCGCCATAGAACGCCATTTCTTCTCCTCTGTGATGAATTCGTGAAGCTTTTGTGTGCCGTCGCTTTTGAACTCTCTGGTTCTTTTAGTCTCTGATTTTCTTCTTTCCCTTTCGGAAACAAATAAATGGCTATAGAGAAGAGAGAGCCTGAAACTTTATAAAGCTTCGACATGTTAGTGGGGACAGCTTAACTAGGGTTTGTTTTCAACTAACTACAGTTAAGATCCTCGGTTTAGCCGTTGGACATTCTTCTTTCGTTCATGATTTTCGGTATTTAAACGTCGCCGTTTCGGCTTTCATTTAGATAAATTTGCTCAAATTTTTTTAAAATAATTTCTAATTTTATGGTAAAGTATGAAAAATATCTACTTTTTGTTTTAAAAAATATCTTTAATTAAGAAATTAAAAAAATTAAATTTTGTGTTTTTTATTTTTTATTTGTGCCCTTTTTCACCCTTAAAATTAATTATTATTCAAATATTTAACTTCAAGTAAATTTTTATTTTCACCTTGTAAAGAATAAAAAGATTACCATTTATTATTATTATTATTATTTTATTATAAAAAAAAAAGGAACAGTAAATTAAATATTAAAAAATCATCAATTGTCTCCTCTGTCTTTAATGTACATTATTCCTTTAAAGACAAGCAAGTTATAATTTATATATAATTATTTAAATAATAATTTATAAATAAATAAATAAATCATATAGTTACTGATGTTTTACTCCTCTAATAAACAAATACTGTTTGTCATATTTCTCTCAATTAACTTATATAAAAACAAAAAATTAATTAATTAATTAAAATATTACTTAAGAAACGAAACTACGTCGTATTATGAGTGGGAGTTAGAGTTGGAGGGAAAAAGAAGCGGGCAAGTGGAACTTAACAGACCGTAACGGAAGGAAACGGCTGGGCCCCACAAAAGGGTTTGGGCCGTCAAAAACGGATCGGACACTGACTCGGTGTCGGTCCGAGTCATACGACTCGGTCGATTCCTGATCTCTCGCACCCATATTTATTTATTTTATTAATTATCTAATTTTTCTGTTAACAACTAATTAATTAATTATAGTAAAACATGCGTTTTTGTTGACATAATCCTTAAAAGTTTCGAATATGTTTTTGTTTTTGTTCTACGACGTTACCAATAATTTTGTTTTTAGTGTATTTAATAGACATATTGCTTAAATTATGTGCATTTGTTGGAATTATTATTATAATGCTACGGGGAAATAAATACCTTGGAGGCCCGGGAGGATGAGCCGAGCCATACAAGTCAATTCTAAAAAGTCACCTAATATAGAGTTGCTCCGAGGTAAAACAAGCTTAACTATGAAGTTTCTATGATTGAGCTATTGAAAGGACGGTGCACCTTGTTGGTACAGATAGTAACTTTAATTTCTCTTAAGACTTTCTTAGTCATTTTATTCTCAGGATCGTTCTCGTTTGAATGTAGTCTCGGTTCATTCATGTACTACAAAGATTAGAGGTTTGAATGAATGTAAAAGTTGGTGTCAAGTCATTTCCTTTTTTATTTTGTCCGTACGATTCCTTTATGTAAAGACACTCGAGAAACAAACAAATCCAAGGGAGAAGAAGATAAAAGTAAGTCATAATTCAATTCTTATAAATATCTATCCAATGCTCGGAATTTTGCTAACTGTAGTGTTCATAGGCTTTGATGAGCTAGTGGTGATCGGGGTTTGTAGCGATGACACAAGATGAGATTTGCTTCTAGCCAAGTTTACGGTTTAGGGTTTTGGGTGTGATCCCGATCCGAGCCCTAACCTTTAGATCTCTCTTTTTTGTAGTTCGAGTTGATCGGTTAAAATTTCAAGGTGACTTTGAACTGGGAGTCATATAGGTAAATCCTCAGCAAAAAAGTCAAACGTTCAAATCTCCACCCCATGTAGTATAAACCTCGAGGTTAGAAAATGGCTTCAACTAGGCCCAATACATATGCATCGGCCCATTAACTTCATATGTTTTAAGGCCCATAACAAAAGCCCACAATCTATTCTTTGACCAAGTCAACCCTCTCCTTATAACTTTTAAAGCTCAAATTTTCCTTAGAGGAGCCCAACATGTCTAACAAACTTACAAAGACTTAATTAAAAAATTACCTTATTGAATTAAATTGAAATTAATTTTTTAAATATTTAAATAAATTTATCTTAAAACAATCATCATTAGGTCCTAAATTTTGTGGACCGTCGGATCGGATCCAGATCATGATCTGATCTCCATTATGTGTTACCATATATCTATCGACCCGATGAACTAGCTTCGAGATTTTAGAAAAATAAATAATTTTTTTTTTATACTTTCTAACATTAAACCACATTATAACTAAATATTATATTTTCATAGTAAATTAAGTATGAATGTAGATTTTTTTAAAAATGATAATAATAAATTAAATAATAATCCCATTTTTAATAATTTGATACAAAAATTTAATAGAGCAGATCGAGATATGCCTGTGACCATAAGTAATACTTTTAAAGCTCATGATATTGTTTTGTTATGCAATTCAAATATCATATTTAACGTGCAGAGGATAAGACATCAATTATCATTACAAACATCGATGTTTCTAAAACAACTCAAACCCATCGCTAACAGATATTGTCTGTTTTGGTCAATTATGTGTCACCGTCAGCTTCACGATTTTAAAACGCGTTTCTTCATGATGTTTTGTTCCCCACTCCAACTAATGTGGGATCTCACAGCTTCGAGCTTTGATTCTCGATTATAGGTAAAAAGATAACTTTATGTATATATATATATGGAAGTGGGCATTTATAAACTAAGAGATAATGTAAATGTAAGCATGTCGCTATCCATTCCATTCTCAACCACTTCATTTCCATGTTCTAGAACGTTCTAGATCCAATGTTTTAATCCCGAGCTCCTACGTAAAGATGATTGTTTTAGTCTCCAAGTAAAGCGCGTTTAACTATAAAAATTTTATGCTTGAGCCTCGAGTCACGTTTGAGAGAAATGTTTTGAAAAATGTGAGTGAGGAAATACGTTGAAAACAAGGTTATAAGCTAAAAGTGATTAGGCAACAACAACGACTTTGATAGCATATAACTCCGGTAGGAAGAAGGGACGACTAGTCATATCCCCCTACAGTACATTTTAGATCATTTTTAGTCATGGTGGGTGTAGACATAATATTGGTGACCGAACATACTATATGCATACCTTTGGGCTTTCCCTTTTGGGCTTACGTCTGCTAGGGGAAGGTTTCCACTCCCTTATAAATGGTGTTTTTGTTCTCCTCTCCAACTAATGTGGGACATCACAATCCACCCCCCTCAGGGCCCAGCGTCCACGCTCGCACTTGTTCCTTTCTCCAATTCGATGTGAGACCCCCACCAAATCCACCCCCTTTGGAGCCTAGCGTCTTTACTGGCACACAGCCTCGTGTTTATCCCCCTTTGGGGAACAGTGAGAAAGCTGACACATCGTCCGGTGTCTGGCTCTGATATCATTTGTAACGGCCCAGATCCACCGCTAGCAGATATTGTCTTCTTTGGGCTTTCCCTTTCGAGCTTCCCCTCAAGGCTTTAAAACGCTGCTAAGAGAAGGTTTCCACACCCTTATAAAGGGTGATTTGTTATCATCCCTAACCAATATGAAACATTACAATCCACCCCCCTCCGAGGCCCCAGTGTCCTCGCTAGGCACTCATTCCTTTTTTCAATCGATGTGGGACCACCACTAAATTCACCCTCTTTGGGGCCCACGTCCTTACTGGCACACTGCCTCGTGTCTACCCCCCTTCGGGGAACAGCGAGAAGGCTAGCACATCATCCAGTGTCTGGCTCTGATACCATTTGTAACGGCTCAGATCCACCGCTAACAAATATTGAATGTGGCATTGGTTGGGGAGGAGAACAAAAGCACCATTTACAAGGGAGTGGAAAGCTTCCCCTAGCATACGCGTTTTAAAGCTTTGAGGGGAAGCCTGAAAAGAAAAGCCCAAAGAAAACAATATTTGCTAGCGGTGGATCTGGATCGTTACAAATACACTCTCGTATTAGCACAATATAAAATAATAAATGGCTATACAAGATGAAAGTATATAAAAAGAGGTTGGAACGTGCATACGACTATGGACAACACGTCCTATTACAAACATCACCGAGACATCCAACATGCGGCCATAGACAACACATCTTCGACAAACATGACCGTGACACTTGGCAACAAGTAGGAACTTGAAAAGGAAAATAGTAGAAGTGGTGGAGCCAAAGAATGAAAAAGCGTGGAAAATGCAACCAAAATATAAACACAAAGAGGTGGTTGAAGGTCAAGGGCGGTGTGCCAGTGCCATGGCCATTGCCCGCTCAATTCAAAGCCACTTCAACTCTTTTTACTCGTTCATCCATTTATTTGGACTCGTAACCGAGATCTTTACTCGGATGTATTGAGAATATTTAGTCTTCCATTACGGTTTACCATATATATCATATTTCACCCTTGATCATAGCTTAATACCATACATCCCAAGATCTTTCCATTTCCAAATATAGGGGCTTGATTCGAGATCCATATACTCTAGCTCTTCAAAGCTTAGCTCGTTTATGGGATTTTCCGACAATCATTTCAAATCACACACATACAGACTCTTCAATCGAAATTATTCCAATTTCATAACACATAGTTCACTATTAATAATTAGTTAACAATTTTTTAATAGTCATCGTATACCATCGGATGACTCTCGTGCCGACCAAATTAATTAATTAATTAATTAAATGGAAGGAAAAATAATTGATATGTTGTTTAAATAAATATTGCCTGCCCCACCTGAAACCAGAATGGGGTAAAATACTAAACCATGGTTTCATGTCTGTCCAAAAGTCAACTCAACTCCCAACTATGGACGTCACTTACATACATACATACATATACATATACATATACATATACATATACATACACATACACACATATATATTCTTTAATATAATAATAATAATAAATATATCTCACTAATTTTAATATTTGAACCACAATTACGTGCATGATTTTAGCTGTCATGAATCGAGATCATATCTGAGTCTCAAAAGGTTATATCTTCATTTTTCAACTGGTCGACCGTATGAACTTCAAACTTCATTGTGCTTAGTTTAGAGCAATTTTACGTTAGGTGACTTTTCGAGAGCTTATTTAGGAAACACGTGAGT